AAGTGGGTTCTTCGCCCTGAAAATTCCTCCGGAGTTCTTGGAAGTGCACTGAGTATCGATTGCGTTGCGGACGGATTTCCGGTACCTAAAGTTTCTTGGAAGCGCAGTTCAGGTCAGTACTATTCCTTTTTTTACACTTCCAGCAATGAAAGGCAAAAGAAAATCTTTTTCGCGAATTGAAATTGCAACTTCGCCCGGGATGTTCCAATCACAACCTATATAGGCTAAACGAAGAGGACAATGTTGTGTACTTGTGGTTGGTTTTAAAAGAAATTCCACAAGACTTTTTTCCAAATTTGAAGAAAACTGAAGTGGAAGAGCATTTACGCAGCTCCCAAGTCAAGATTAGATTTTTTAAAGTCAAAGAGGGCAAAAAATTGAAACAACAGGCAACCATGCCAGTTTGAGTGAGACTGATACTTTATTCATGATTTCAAACACCTTATATACCCAGAAATCAGGCACAAAACACATAGACACTTTCAACAATAAAACAAGTCCGGAAAACCAGGAAATTCTTCAAGGTGAAATTTGTGAGATTACTAAGTACGCGATGCAAACTTACAAAGCAAATATCTCAATCAATTTTGAAGATACAAAATTGCGCGACGTCTCATATTCAAGATCACAACGTTTCCAACACTTTTTATTATAACAAAAATGTTGATAGGACGCGTAGTATTTGGGATCTTTCGATTTCTGCAAAATTACTTTTCTGCCATAACCCTTTGCTGATAAAATCTGCACACATCCATTGCCTGATAAAAATCACTAAAACCAGGCGCAGCGAATAAAAATAAAATTCTCCCACTTGGGGCATTCAAAAAGAAGAATACAGTTTTTCACCTACAAGGTTTCACCAAAAAGTTCAGGCTGCAAATATGAACATGTTTCTTGTCTAAAATTGAATTTCATTCATTATTGCCCAGGTGACTAAAAGTTTCTATACACACTCAGAGGTGGATTTCATGTCGCATTTAATTCATGCAACATGTACTGTTCTCAAATGAGTCCGAAAACTCAGAATTAATTTTCTTTCTACGCTGAAAAATTATGCATATGTCCTTCTGTCAGAAACGTCTTGTAAAGCAAGCAGCAGAACGTATGTCCAAATTATGATCTCGTTTGAATAATTTTGCATGATGGCGAATAGCTGCGCAGTTTGTTCCAATTTTAGAAAGGATCCCGTAATTGCAAGTACTGTTTATGCGATGTCAACACAACAGTTTCCACGTGATGCCTATTCTCCAGATGTTTATAAAAATTAATAGTTAATACACACAGAGTTCAGGTTGAAACTCAATCGATCGTTTACTCATAAATCCTGATGCACGAGCGAAAATTGCAAACAATTACAGTGTTTTTACGAAGGATTTGTCGTAGTTTGAAATATTATGTACCCAAAAAATGACATGATGGAAAATTTGAAACGAAGAGAGAAGAATATATGGAATAAATCAAGCTGGATAACATTCTTTATGAGACTGGGTTCAAGTATAAATCAACATTTCAGCTCATCTCGAATCAGTGTTTTCATTTTCTAATTTCCTGAACAGGAGAAAAACAAGTGCCGACACTTCTACGTTTTATTAACGCGTTTCGCATGGGACCACCTCAAACTTTTTGCGAAAAAACATCAAAGGTTAACGCAGTTCCTTCTTTGTGCCGTATTTTTAAGAAATCAGCTTCTGAATGGCAGCATTCTACCTGGTAGCACATGTACTCATTTTTTTCGACTGAAAGGATTTCGAAATTCATGTGAAAAAAATGGCAACTCTGACTTGAAATTCTTGTCGATGGTTTCACTTCTCAGTCCTCAGTCTGATTTAATTAGAAATAAAATAATGAAGAAAACGTGTCATGCGTTGGAAAAGAAACTTGTCTCACGAGGGGAAAATTGTTTGAAACGGTGGGTTCGTCTAAAAATATTTGCGGAAGAAAATACTAACCAACAAGGTCCATTTTGAAAGGGGAGTAGTACCCCATACCTGAAATTATTGAGCACCCGAAGTTTGCTAAGGTTCCATTTTATATATTTGGGGACCTAAGGGTGCCCAGTTGAGTGAAAGTTGTGAAACTGTTCCATTCCGTTTCATGCAGGAAGCGAGTAAGAGGAAATCCAGTGGATCGTAGCCCGGAAGCGTGTTTGTCAAGCCGTTTTATCACGTTCAGGTTGATGAATGGGGCAGGGTTTATTTTAGCCGATTGGATTTTGAGGTGACAGGGTGATTTGAAAGACCGTTCCAGCAAGTAATTGCATGGCATTATTCGTACAGAGAAAAGAATAATCTCGAAGACGCATGCATTTCGATTTTTTTTTAAACAAGTGATATCGATCAGTCGCCAAATGCGATTTCCATTGCTGGAGACCATTACTCCATTTAAAATTAAACATAAAATATATGCGATCAAAATATGCCCAAGAAAAGTATTCTGATACCCATAATACTGTGAATAATCTTCGCATATGTAAGTACTCTAACACACGAATTTAAATAGAATAATGGAGCCCAAAATCGAATTGATTAACGCTGCGCAACTCTAATGTGAGAACGATCCATTTTTTAAAACTCAATGTGGACAAAAATTCAATTGCTCCACTTCATTACAGGAAATAGACCCGCAAAATATTACATTTTCGTCCTTTCAATTATTTCAATACTTTTAAAATTATTTTCCATTTAAGATTTTGCAAACTTTTCGGGCGACCAAAAGTTTCATTCTGAACTGACCCATCAGCTATTTGAGAAGAATCTAGGTGTTTTGAATATGAATATAAAGGTTGTCAAGATGTTATTCTTTATGCCTGATTTGGGAAACTGAACATATACGCTTTTCCACGAGATAAAATTCTCGATTCACATTGCGGGTGCCAATTTTTCATGAAAGAGTCCAGGTCTTTGATGTATACAATGAACCTTGAAACAATCCTGGTTTCCATGTTACTTGACTTTTTTCAACTATTTACTTGGAAAAAGTGCTTCTTGAAAGAAATACTCGTACTCCAGTGTGTATAATTCATCAGATCGGTGGACCAGTTTCGAAAAATCGTTGTTGGCTTTCTCTTTTGTATTTAATGATTGCACAATGCACGAACGTGATGAGCGAGAAAATATGCAAATCGGAAGTAATCGTCGGGAAATTCTTCGTATTATATAATGCTTTATCTTATACCGACAAGCTTCATTTGATAAGTACAAGTTGGAAGCACTGCGATGCAGTAAAGATAATGGAAAACCCATTTGAAGTTCCTGCTTCGAAAGGAATGTGGCCAGCTTGGGGGTTAATCATGACATTCGTGAGTCATGGGTGTTCAAACCTGGAATTTAATAGAATTGATAACCCATGTCTTTCTTACATAAGCATTGCAATATTTATTTCAGCTGAATCTCATCTGATATTCGCTGAGGAAATTTGAATCATACAAATATATTCAAAGGATTTAAAATTAAATTAATGGAGATGATGAGGAGGAAAGGATATTAATTTAGTCATTTTCTTTGCTCATAGAACCAATGGAAAGTCATATTTCGCGCGTTGCACTTCATCCAGTGTTAATTTTTTGCTTTCTATTCGAAATTAATGGACAAAACGAATTTTATTTCTAATCCTACAAAACTAGAACTGGTCGAAACAATAATTTGATTCCAGAAGATTCGTCAAGAATAACGACTAGTTCAAATTCCAGTCCTCAAAAGTCATTTTCAATTTTAGAAGTTGCAAGATGTCATAAACGAGAATTCCAGAATGGTAAACAAAATTTCAACAACAAATAATCTGAAGGAATCATTTGATGATTATTTTGCGGGACACATGATACAACCTGGAAGAAGAAAAAAAATTGCATGATATTCCGAGGATGCTGAGAATTGAGAACCAGTCATGGAACGCATATGAAGAGGAGAATTCTGAGCAAAATTGCAACAGCAAAAAAAAAAAGAAGCTAGAAGAATTACCTGATGATTATTTTGCGAGACACGAAAAACCACTGAAATATCAACCTTCAGATACAATTCACAAGTTGAGTGATTTTGACGACCCAACGCGTCGGGTTTTTTTTTTTTTTTTTTTTTTTTTTTTTTTTTTTTTTTTTTTGTTTTTTTTTTTTTTTTTTTTTTTTTTTTTTTTTTGCCACAGAAACCGTTTCTATATCTTGGATAAGCAAAGAAAAAACTCATGATCTATTGGATCCTGATCAGTTTTCTTCTTCCATATATAGGTGGGAAAGGCAGCGAATTTCTGCCATTGCCTGCGATTGGTGGTGACATGCGATGGTTGAGGAATGGAACCCTGGTATTTGGTTCCCTGGAGGAGTTCCACGCCGGCTCGTATTTGTGTGAGGCTTCCAATGGCGTCGGGCTGGACATAAGTGCCACCGTCAGCGTCGTTGTCCATCGTAAGTCGATCGCGTTTCTGTTTCATCAAATTATTAATGATCTTTGAAGAAAAATGAATACTCGCTACATTCTTCTTCCTACGAAAATAAAAATCGTGAAATCGGAATATTACGAGAAAATTGTGATCGATCAGCATTATAGGGATCCAGCTTTCCTTCTCGATCATCATCATCTTTGCGAAGGTATTTTAGAAAAAAAGAAAGAAAATAGCTTCAATGCTACGATTAGAGGCTCTCTAGACACGTGATACATGCACAGTACATTTTAAAATATTGAAGTACTAGATTTTAAACTTCATGAGTTTTTCAAATTTTCGAAAAAAAACTTGAATCTTCATCGCGTAATTCAATTTCGAGCTGGATTTTGCAGAAAACAGATTACCAAGGAGTACGAGGACAACTTTTTACAGACCGAAAAACTAGATTTATTGATAATATGATAATACATTTTATCTTTCAAGACATAACACATTTTTTTCGGATTCACCAGAAATTTTGGAATATTCATCACAAGGATTCGACGAGGCTTGTCTTCCAGTGATCAGCATATTGAGAAACGTTTTAAACGTGTGCAGAAATACAGTAGAACGAAAAGGGGAATAAAAAATAGAGGTAGGCTTTTACTCTTTAAAAATGAACATCAATTAAGTTGACCCCAAAAATGCTAATCAAAGTATGATGAGTGTGATGAGACAATTGGAAGTTTTCGTTCGTTGAGCAATTCGTCCTTCGTGTACAAAGATATTCTGAGGTCAAATGTGTTTTCTTTCATTGTTCAATATTAAAACCGATTTTGCCTGAGGAATATATGCTGGGAAAAATTCAGGAACAAAAAATACTAAAATGCCTCGAAGATCTCTGGCGAAGACCTTTTGATCAATTCAGCGAAGACTTTTCAACGCATTATATGCTGAAAAGAAGAAGAACGTGAATTGCGTGGACTATACATCCGCAGTAGAGATCCAAATGAGTTCGTTAGTCAAGACCAGCAGAGGCTCATGTGGGCAGAATTGATATAAGAGAGAAAGAAGATCCCGGTTCTTATTTATCCACTTACTTGCGAGGAATGAACGAACTCTTCTTATCACCGTTCCCGCATGTGTGACTTCTTTGTCTGCTTATGTATTCAGCGTGGGTTTTTTCCGAAGTTTTTCTACAAATATTTGACTCGATCCTCACTTTTTTCTCTTGTGTAAAAAGGGACACGTCGAGAATGTCTATATAGTCGTTGAGTTTTCAACAGTTTTCCACATAGATGAAAATGTGCCCACCCTCCTTCTTTTGGATTAGCATACCGCGAAGCGGTGGCAAACTTTTCATCAATAGAAGTTCTCTTCGGAATGAATGCATTATCAAATTAAGCTAATTGAATGAAATGGTAAATATATGTTTTACTATGCCTGCATCATGTACGGCTATTCCGTCAACGCCATTCTCATGGGAGTGGTTGAAAAAACAGCAGCCCAAAAAAAACTGAATTTTTTCCGTCATCATGACAAAAAATAGCTCAAAAGACACCCTAGATGAATTTGATTCAAGAGTTTCAGAAAATTTCACTTGGTTGAAATACCTAGAATAGTTATACAGCATTTCATATTTTGAAAGTTACCTTTAAAAATTGATGAAGTCTTATTCTATTTACAGACGGTGAGCAAAAAAGTAAGTCAGCTAATGAACTGCTATTCCATCCCAAAAATGGAAGATATGACGTCGTAAATTGCCTACTTTTATGCGTATTTAATTGTTTGTTCATGTTTTGAATAAAACGGTATAAATACCAATGGTACGCGTTTTACTACCTATAAAAATGAAAATATAACATGCATACAATTGATGAAAATGATCCGATGAAGGTTGACACACGGGTGATTATAGGAATATAGGGTGACACTCCCATCGCGTCTTTTTCCAAGGATGCGAAAGCGGATCGCGTAATGCATAGATACTTTGAGAGCAAAGTTTGAGAGGTTTCAGGTTGCTCATTTTTTTCGTGTCTGTGTGTGTGTTTGTGAAAAATCAGGTCAGCCGAGATTTGCAAGCAAAGTTGCTCGACAACGGGGTCGGGTCGGCGAGACAGCGGAATTATCTTGCGAAGCCGAGGGAGACGACCCAATATCCTTTTCCTGGCTCAAGGACGAAGTTCCTGTGTCTTCGATCGACGGATTACGGTGAGGAAGTCCGACAATCGACAATCGAAAAGCTTCCTCTTTGTTTTATATTATTTTTTAAATATTTTCCCCTTGTTTATTTCTTTCCTTCATCTTATATATAGGTCGTGAGCACCTAGCCATTCTCGGGGATTACTATTTATTCTCTCATCATACATAAGTTTTTTTTTCGTTCGTTTTATTTTATCCGACAATCCCCATCAATATATACTGGCGAAATGGATTTATATCCGTAAATATCGCGGGTCAGTTCCTCTGACGGGGGGCGCACCCGGATGTTTATCGGAGGTGTCGGGCCGCGGGAGGAAAATTTTTCCGACAGGAAACCCCTTTTTACGATTCCATTCCCTCCTTTTTCTTTTGTTTTGCTTTTTTATTCGAGAAATACTGAGTAAGTTTTTGGCGTTTATTTCAGCGTGGAAATCACGGAGACGGCGACGGAGAAAGGATCGAAATCTGAGCTGAAACTTCATTCCTTGAGGGATTTCCACGCCGGCGAATACAAGTGTTCTGCCAAAAATGCTTTCGGAGTGGATCAAAGGGTCATTCGTTTGTCTGTGATTGGTGAGATAATTTCAAGTCTAAATTTTGAAAGAGTTCAAATTACTGTAATGCATGTAATACTCCTTTGAGGAAAATGCTGAGTTTTTATTAACCAGAAAGAACCAGAATTTTTTTTCATGTACAGTATGTATGAAAAATTTAGCGGCGGTCTTTCCCAGCACTAGGTTTCTTACGTGGAAAAGATAATATTTTGAAATTATTAAAAAGTTTGAAATTTTTTTTTGGAATTCAGGAGATCCGTCTTATAGTTAATTAGTGTTGAAGAATCATTCGTTTGACTAATCGGGGATGCGGGATATCAATTTATTTTGCATGGAAATTCTGCACAATTATCCAAATCCAAGTATAATTTTGAATTTATCGTCACCGCGAACAGTTTATTCTGTTTCATTTTTTATCTCGGTTTTTTGTGAATCTGGATGAATAAGTAGGCGGTATTTGTATATTATTTTCAAAAGCGCAGAATGACACAAAGAGTAGCTCTGAATGTCAAATTTATCAATTCTAGATCATATTAAGCAAGCGAAATAATTACCAAGTTACATGTGGCTTTTGATGATTCCCACGTGCTGATTTCAAAACAACAACAAAACGACAACTGATGTAAATATTGTCGAAAATCACTCCTTGTGATTGCTCATACATGAAAGTGTGAAGAATATTGACGATTTTATCCAGCTGTGCCTGAGGTGCCAAGAAATCTTCGCCCGACGGTGATTTCATCCAGACTGGTTGGGCTCACCTGGGATGCTTCACGGAACATCAGTTCATCCGCTTCAAATTATGTCGTAATTTTCCGGAAATCCACCGGTACGTATGCAGACTTGCATTTGAATTTCATCCCGATGAATCTCTGAAGAATTGCCTTCTCTATATATTATTTGATTCTGTCCGTGTCCCGGAATTCGAGGGCGTGAATTTGATGCTAAGCGTTACCAACTAGTGATTCGGCCAACAGCTCGTAAAAACATTCCACGTGTTGATTTCGGCGTGTTTCTAAAATTCGAAATTTGTTTTCTTAATACGAGGGTTCTAACAAAAGTTCTCGGAGTAGCAATGAAAATGGCTTAAAATTGAGCTGAAAAAATTTATTCTTCAGGGAAAACATATTCTGTGGCACAAAAAAAAATATCAGCCCTGTTTCACAATTTTTAAAAAATGTTTTCGTAATTCACCCTGGCAGAGTTTTGTGGGCCATTTTCTTTGCTACTCCGAGAACTTTTGTTAGAACCCTCGTACTGTGCTTTTCTAAACGCTGGTAATGTTACGTGAGAATATGAAGGCATATAACTGAACCAAAAGTGGAATCTAATCTTTATGTTCGTTTTTTTGTGCGCAATTTTTGTGCACTGTCAACTCTGAAAAAAAAACGTCACGCTCTTGAATTCATCGAGAAAAAAATCGTCGCCTGAATTTTAATATTTTGAATATATTATTTATTTGCCGAGTTTTGGAATATTTTCAGAAACCTGGGACGACAGCAGGAGAGACGTCGAGGTCCACGGACACCGCAACAATGTCGACGTCGGCGATTTGTTGCCAGGCACCGAATACCGCTTCAAAATCGCCGCCGAAAACGAAGTCGGTCGCAGCAAATTCAGCCTCGAAATCACCGCCGTAACGGACGAAGAGCCGCCCGATGCCGCCCCAGCAAACATTTCCGCCTTCGCCGCCAGTTCTTCCGAAATCGCCGTCAGTTGGTCAGCACCGCCGCCTCGGGCACGGAACGGGAAACTCACGGGTTTGTTCCAGCCCCAAGCCGGCTGCTTGCCGCCCTAGTTAGGCTTGGGCTCTGACAGCCACGACCCACTGTGGGTCCCAAAGTTAAAGTGACTACACGGCTAAAGCTCCCGCCTGAAACTGGTTTCACGTAGGTTTCAGGGCTTGAAACCCTTCTCCGTGTACGAGGTCGTGGTCGTGGCTGCGAATGCCCGAGGCCCGGGTCCTTTTTCTCCACCGGTGCTCGTGACTACGAGAGAAGCAAGTAAGGCATCATGATTCATATGCATATTTAACTACGTCCCGAATAAAAATTCTTAAGCTGAGAGAGAAATCGACGAATTAAAAAAAAGCAGAGTATGCTGTATTATGGAACCCATATTATAATTTTAGCATTCAATCAACGCCGTTTCGAATTTGTGTTTCAAATTATTTTGGGAGCCGCTCCGTTTCTTTTCTCTCTACATGAACTGGGGTGAAAGACTTCGAAATTCTTAGAAATATGAGCAATATAATAATAGCTTATGACACTTTTCATTTGATCATTTCATATTTACATGTTAAATTATCCTGGATATCGATAAATTGATGGGTTCTCAAGCAAAATATCATTTTTTAATTGCTTTGATGGAGAAAGAAAAATTGTTTGAGAATGCCGTTGAAACAATGAAATGACCTTGAGACAGTGACGCTATACAATATTATAGCATAATTTATTCTGGTATAGCGAAAAAATGAAAAAATGACATCTTATGAATACAATGTTTAAAAAAATTTAGAAATTTTTTCGTTGCTCATGAAATTTATACCTTAAAAAAAACTAAACCTGATGCTCCGAAAAGGTTGATTTTTTGCAATGTCCAACGGAAAAAAAATCAAGTTTTGAGATCCTAGGAAACGCATGGAGTTTGAAATAAATGAAGCTTCCGTAATATTCTCGTAAATAAAAGAATACGCTGGTACTCAAGGATGAAAATTTTCTAGGAAATGCTCACTCTTCAAAAAAATGGACTTCATGTTCAAATCAGAAAAAAAATATTTGTAAATGTCTCCGAACGAGGAGTGGTTTTTTTCAAATTTATTTTTTATTCCAACTACTGTACGTTTTCAAGCCGAATGCTACGCATCAGGCAAGAACAAATTTTCGGCACTTCAAAAATAAGGTGCACATTTCCAAGTGAATGCCTGCTTTGTGCTGGGCCGCTGCATTCCAGAAACGCCCACGCATTCCAAAGTCCATCATAACAGATCATCAGGATCAGCTGGGAACCACCGGCACGCGACGAGGCTCATGGGATCATCAGGGGATACCGGGTTCTCTGTGAGCTGGTGCCGGATTTCGAAGGTGACCCGACCCGATATTCCTTATATTTTCGAGAACCTCCCGCTTCCTCCTCCTTTTCCCCTCACTCATCACACCTACCACAGTATATACCCATGGCTATCGCACCCAGCTGAGAGAGTAGGAGAGCCATGGTTATTCATAAGTTGCGTCGTTCTCGTACTTCATCTTCTGAACTTTTTTTTTTTTATTGGCGGGGAAGTAGTGCTGTTGGATCTCCATGAATCGAACTCCATCAGAAAGAAAGAAAAAATGTTCGAAGTTACGGCAAGCATATAATTCCTTTTTGTTGGAAAAGAATCACGGGAAACTTGAAGTAGTGATCTTTTTTTTTAGCCTCAAAGGATTTGTACCTTCTTTGGAAAACCTCCTGGTTAACCTTTCCGCAGCAGTGCTGGGATATATTTTGCACTATTTTGGACAAAAAAAAACACAAAAATAAGAAAAAACCCTATTCTGATCAGCGAAGCCAGAGTTGGAAAAAATTTCAATTTTTTTTCTCCTCGTGGTGCATTAAAATTTTGATGAAAACATTGAACACTGCACATTTTTCCTGCATTCTGGTCATAGGATTAGCATTAAGGAATTAACCATTCAGCAGCAGAGGGTTCTTTTCTGTTGAACGTAGGTAGGTGCTGGGATATTTTTTTTACAGGCTGGTGATTTCTGGTTTGACCTAAGCCAGAAAATATTTATATCGGCCAGTATGAGTAGAGGAAAATTGAAAAGTAATCCCAACAGATCCCCCCCCCTCTTGAGTTAATCCTATGGCTGAAGGTTAAAAAAACCCTACCTTGTGAGACCTTTATTTTTTACTCTTGCAAAACTTTTTGCACAGATTGAATAAAATACATATATTTTCCATCTTCGGCCGTATTTTTCAGTGCAATATTTTCAAATTTGAAATGTTTAGTGGGAAATTCCTGCAGAAATATTTCAGCACTGCTGCCAAAGGGCTGAAGAGAAACAATTTTTAAAAATGCTTTACTGCCCCAATTTTCATATATCAGCTAGGCTACATATGGGTGACCTTTGGTTGAACCAAATGTGCCTGGTTGCAAAGATATCCCAGTTATTCTGCAGGATGAAAATCCACCCATCACTGCGATCTGAAAATTAAAAAAAAAAAAATTGTCTGGAATTGGTTGTTTGTCAATCAAGGGTCAAATGTACTTGGTGAATGATGAGTTGACAGGATGCTGAAATTCAAAGCAATAGTGCATCAGTCCAATTAGTTTCCCACTTCCTTTTGAAAGGCATCAAATTACATTTTAATTAATCTTCATTTTCTTTGGTCTACAGAATAATGGCACAAAGGCCTCACAAAAGTATTTGAGTGACATAAATTTACCTTTCTCGTGAAATGAATGCCCTTAAGACTTTGCTGCTAAATTGGGTAATTGTATGCGTTAAATTCTTCAACATGATGTTTGTTACAGATCTTATATCTGCTGCCAACCATGTTCAAAATGAAAATATTCTGTCCCGTAAAGTCTGGGTTGCTGAACGCAAGATGGGTTGCCCTAAATTATACATACATTATTTTTGCATGCACAGTAACTCCTAATTAGTATAGAGACATGCTTCGAACCTTGCAATTATTTTATGAAAATTTACAAGATTTTTTTTGACCGGCCTAGGACGAGGCTTTGGGATTCCCCCTTGTATATCCGTATAAAATCGTTAGATCCCCGACCAGTTGGCCTCAGATAGGCTGTTTCCTTTCTCGACGTGGTTATTTGTGATTTCCTTTTTTATTTCTTGGCAGGGATAATAATTGGTTTTATTAACATCGCTTCTGGCGCACTTTTTCATTGACTTCTGAAAGCGTTCGATCGGCCATTTCCTTCACATTTGTGACCCGTCAGTTATTCAACTGAAATGGATGCGTCACACTTGAAGAAAAAATACCTTGTTTACTTCATAGTGAACCAAGAACGCTCTAAATTCAGGAAAATCGCCTGTTTCTTCTTATTTTCATAATTTTAGAGAAAAAATGATCGAAACCAGCTGTATCCGTCTTGTGAGAACATCAGAAAAATGGTTCAATCGTGTTCTTTGTCGCTTACACTAGAGTCGTTGGAATTTTTTAAAATTTTGATATGTTCTTGATTTTGGCATTGAGACTTTCAATCACAGTCTCTCCTGAAATCCATTATTTTACCTTATTTGACATGCAACGTATTTCCTCAAAGTTCTTCGAAAGAATAATGCGCGCAAAGACTCGAACACGGAAATGCTCCGCATTATATGTAACCGTTCATGTCTGCTCTGCAAATTTATAGCGATGTATTTTTGCATGTGGTAAACAAAGTGATGTACTCACATTTTACTTCTTATCGGTTATGAGATAGAACGTGTTTCGGATCTATTATGGATTGAAATAATGTATTTAGAAAACCCATTCAGAGAAACGAGATTTCTGTGCACGCTGGAGAAATGAGACCTTCTTTCAATAGCCGACAAAAACCAGTGATTCAAGGAGCTTTGAACAATGAAAAAACGAAATCTCCTCATTACAAGCTAAATTCCATCGATAAGTCAATAATAAGTTGAATAGTGGCTTCACATGGATGAAATAAGCATCCTGAATTTTAGCTGTAGGATATTTTTCACACGCATATATTGGAAAAGCGTGTTGTCAAAATCATTGATTATACGCTTGTTGAGCTGAAATCCGATTTTACGCCAATGAAGTATTCCTGCAGTGAGTCAGTCGTCCTGCAAATATAACGGCACATGTCCATGAACCGACATTTGGTTTGGCAAGAAGTTCATCAGTCCTTTTCCCATATATACGTGTGAGCGAAGTCGGAATGTGATTTGCAAGCCACATGAATATTCATTCTCTTTCTTGCTTCAGGGATATATGCCTTATATAGGAGGAACTTCGGGATTCCTAAGTAAGGGTGGTCCAACGAAGAACTCATCTTCTCGCAAAAAGAAAAGTGCATGCATGAAAAAAATGAGAATTTTTTGCGAGTTTAGATCTTCCTTTTGGTAATTTTGAAAAGATGAAATCAGTACTGTACAGTACTTCGTCCTTCTTAATTGAGAGCTATGAGTTGATTGTTCCCACCAGCTTGATCTTTTTATCCACTGCGAAATTCTGAGGACACTTCGCGAATTCCAAGCAGAATCCACGCTATGCAGATTTCACAAAACTTTACTATATCAAAGGGATTTAAAGTTTGAACTATCGTCAGCAGGGACAACATTATGCAAATGCGTTCAATAGGTCATCTTTCGATCGATCGTGAGGCAGGTTATAGTTGATGCACATCCGTTTTTTTTTTATCTCGATCATTAAACAAAGATTTTTGTCTTATAATTTTATCGATTTTCCCCCCGTGAAAATGAAAACTACTGCGTGAGTTTTCAGAAAGAGACATTTGCACTGAAAGATGTTTTTTATTAGACAGGTTTTTTTCTTGTTTCTTTTCGCGAACGTGCATCATGTGTTTAGAATGAAATATTCATTATAGAAATATATTCAAATTAATTACAGGCTTCATGAACGAATCAACGTGAAAAGAAAGATTTCATCACATTGTATGTTACCGCGCTTTTTCTGAGCTGTTGAATTTCTATGGAATCCTTTGAGCGAATTGGCACTTTTTTACTGCTAGACGTATGGTATTTTTTCGGTAGTTCAAATTATGATCAGAAGTTGAAAAAATTGAATTTCGGTGTATATAAGTATAATATTTGTAGAAGCCGACTTCGTGAAAATTTTATCGACCAAGAGGCTTCCATTATTCGCTGAGGAGTGACTGATGAATTATTGTTCATGTCCGGCCTCTTCTGATCTGAAAATTCTTTGAAGATTCAGCAGATCCTTCTTTGAAGAAATGAAAAACGCCATCATCTCATATGCTGTTCTTTAACTAAAGGATAAAAGCATATACCCCCCATGCAAGTTTAAGGTTTCCATTCCGAAGAATAGGTGTCACATAATGAAGGTCTCTTTCTGAGGTTATAATCCCAGGAGTCCAGGTGCAAAATTGAATAATATTCTGAACATAAAATTACGCCTCCTCGGACAGTTATGTGTTTTTCTCTGTGTAATTTTAATTCCTGCGAGGAAAAATTGACGATGACAAAACAAATCATCTGGAAGATTCAAATCATGGCCCTCAATTAGCAAGAAAGAAACTAAAGCTATTATATTTTCTTCAAGGATCTTCCTTTCAGTAATGTTGAAATGACTAATTCAGTCCTGTACTGTATTGCACAACGCTGAATTTGTCTTTTCAAAATTACTGGAAGGGCGAAGCTCTCTTTCTGGGGTTATATATTTGTCTCCAGGAGTCCAGGTGCAAAATTGAATGGTATTCTGGGCATAAAAATTTGCCTCCTCGGAAAGCTCTGTCTTTTTCGTTTTTTTTTATTTTAATTCCTGCGGGGAAAAAATTGACGATGACAAAACAAATCAACTGGAAGATTCAACTTATCGCCCAAAATCAGCAAGAAAGAAATCAAAACTAATATATTTTCTTTGAGGATCTTCCTTCCAGTAATTTTGAAAAGACAAATTCATTCCTGTACTGTGTTGTACAGCGCTGAATTTTTTCTTTTCAAAATTACTGGAAGGAAGATCCTCGCGCAAAAAGTATCAGTTTCAATTTCTTTTTCGGTCAAAAAGGTAGTCTCTTTTAATTTTCACCAACCGTATACACAGAAGCACTATAGAAAAGGCAGAAGACCAAGAAGAAGAATAAAAAGAAGACTCTCGAAGGCACGCGGCCGTGTCGCCAAGACAGCCTTCTTTTTGATCCCCTTCCTGCGGATTCGTTATTCACAGAGCTGCTGGGGGAATATAGAATCGGAATCCCATGTATTATCCGGGTGCTTTTTGGGAAATCCGTGCTTCAGTCAGCTATATATGTATTGATCTTCGTCTACTGGTGCTGGCGTCGATGAGTCGTGACGAGCGTGCGTCGATGTCGATGTAATCCCACCGATAAGGGTGTATCCAGAATTAATTGCTGTCACAAACCTGGATGGGAAACGAAAAAAGAAATATGGATACTATAGGACAAAAAAATAGGGCTTCCTTGGATGGTTTTCTTCCGGGATCACAGCATTCCCTAATCAGGTCTTCTTCGAAATGCATTTGTTTGAATAATTTATAATGCGTTGTGGTTCGGTGGGAAAAAAACGAAGTTAATTTGTCGTCATTTTCATGCACATTAAATTTTATAGATTCAAATTTTTGGACTTTGAATGTAACTGAAGAGCTTCAAGCAGGGAAATAATTCTCATTTTAATAAAAAATCCAGTATCAGCAGACAAATAATTTGCACTGAAAAAAATAATATCGATTTTCCCAGAATTGTTGAGCTTATTAGGGACGATTGTAAACATCTCCGGAAATTCAACTAATAAAATAGGAAAAATGACATTGAATGCGGATTATTTCTTTGTAAAAAAAATGGGAAGAATATCAGCCAATTTTCATCGAGTTCTTATTGCCTGTGTCTCATGGCACCTTAGCATAATTAAATATGCTTCGAAAGAATAAATTCTAAGAAGAATCTTGACGTGACGAAATCGACTCAGTTGTGTTTCATTCCTTGATTGAATTTTCTGCGATAATACAGATCAGGCTTTTGAAATCTGTGAATTTCAAGGAATTAAAAAAAAACTTAAATGAGAAATACCCTGATGGACGCATAAAAGAAAGAATATTCGGTATTTTCACTGCACTTTGGGTCAATATTGTGGCATTTTTTTCATTTATTTCTGAATGAAAAAAGGTTGATGATTTTTTTTTAAATGATGGATAACTAATACTACTGTATACTTGGAAACATGCGGGCACTGACCTTTTCATCCCTCGTCAAATATATATACACACACAAAGCATGCAGACATGTATTGATGTCCTTTTCGGCGCTTTGTCTCGTACTGTTCCGGCAAATTACCGTATATGTATAGTTCATGGTTCTCAGAATCGAGACCCCCCCGGGATTCATATTTTATATTCTCACCCCCACAGGCAGGATAATTTCCAGCTGGTTCGACACAGCAGCCCGCGAAATCGACATCCCGGACTTGATGAAGTTTTCATGGTTCTCAGAATCGAGACCCCCCCGGGATTCATATTTTATATTCTCACCCCCACAGGCAGGATAATTTCCAGCTGGTTCGACACAGCAGCCCGCGAAATCGACATCCCGGACTTGATGAAGTTCTCTAATTACTCCTTCCGCGTGCTCGCCTTCAACAAAGAGGGCGACGGGCCACTTGGTGCGCCGCACTTCTGCATGACTGCAGAAGACGGTAAGTGTGTAGTTCTGCTGCTGCTGCTATTTTTTTGTTTGGTTTTTTTTTAGGTTTTTGGGGAAATGACTTGAGCAGAATATGGGTCGTTTGCCAGTCTGGAAAGCAATAATTTTTTTTCATTTTAATTAAAATAAACTAAAATTATTTGCAAGGCTTTCATTTTTGGGATTCAACACAGCATGATGACGAAGAAATTCGCGCTATATTTCTTCTCGAGAAAAAAAAATGAGCCACGGTTTTCAATCGACGAAACTTGTGCGTGACTTTTGACAACAGGTTGAAGTGTTTCAATGCGTCAATCTACAATTTTTTTCATAATCGTATTCGGGCCGGGCCATGATAAAAAAAGGAGACCTCAGATGAGTTGGACCAAATTTCTAAAGAAGAATTCCCGTAATGAACGGTAATCGATAATTAATTTCAGTTCATAAGCGTTTTCACAAGGAATATTCGAAGAAAAAATCTGAACAGCTTTCGAATTAATCAAAAACAAGCACGATGTTATGTACAGTATATACTGTATATTCTTTGAAAAATCGGTTTTTATTTAAAATCTAAATTCAACGTCTGGAAAAATTGTACGAGTGTCGAAAGTGGATGTTGAAATGTTCATTTTCTCGTTACGCAACAGGCCGCTACAATTTCTAAAAAAATATTTTTCTTTCGTAATACAAACATTTATATTTTGACTTGTCTGCAGAAGTGCAGATACATCAGATAAGAATATACTTTAATATATGAAGCGCCGTGTCTGAAAGAGGGTATGTTAATTTCTTCTAGAATGCTTTGTGAGCTTCTTGCTGAAAAAAAGTTCAATCATCCGCTGCATGTGCCCAAAAAATTGGTGTGGCTCATTAAAAACTTCGAATTGTATGTAAGAGCATAAAAGTGAAGTCGAAGCAGGATATTCTTGTGACAGTATATCTTTCACTTTTTCCCGCACAGAAGAAATTGCTTTGGGACAAATTTCCGCCCTGGGGTGGTTTTACAAATTTAGACCCCAAGATGCGCACGTAATTGGTGCATCAAGAGTGTCCGTAAGATGAAATGTCCCTAAGTCAAGTCTCATTTTCCCTTATACTTACATTATTTTTTTAATTGGTGTTTTTGCACAAAATACTCACCATAATTCCATGAAAATAGAAATTGTCTCCTAATTTAAACTGATTCAATCAATATATTTCAACAGAATATGGAAATTTGGGGAATTGAATACTGATACCTCTGTACGGTATCTAGAAATGTTGACATTCCCTATAAAAATAACATTCAGGTGAAAAAGAGAGAAGGAAGTCCCTCTATGCTGGAGGAAATTTTTTTAATAAGCTAAATGGATGGTAAATTGGTGAGTGAAATGCCCAAGAACTTTGCTTACATCAATTTTAGGGTTGGAAATATCTGTTTCTCGTAATTTTACCTGAAATGCATTTGCAATTTTATCATGAAGTGTCCCTATGTTGAGTCAGTGTCCTCATGTCTGGCCTTTTTATTAATTTTTATGGGAAAATAAGTGTCCCTACGTCGAATTGTCCGCATGTGGGGGTCTCACTATATGAAAAAATCCCCTGTTCCCTGGGGCCACCGGGTACAAATGTAAATCACTTTTATGACATGTTACGACCCACTTATAGGTACGAAATGCCGTGATTTAGTTACCGATAGCGGGATTAATAAGATCAGCGTTGAAATATCAATCATTTATTAGAGAAACCGGTTTGTGTGGTGGGCGTTGGCATAATACCAGGAGAACTTATTCCTCAAAAGCACACAGCAGGTCGACAGTCGGAAGTAAGGCCATCAGAGTGCATGTGCCCGTTTCAGTGACGTTTTGCTCTTGTACGGTGTTTACAATTTTTAGTGCAAACGCATCGTACAGCGTGTGTATGTGTACCATAAGTGAGACATGGTGAAGCAAGAAGAAGATGACAAACTTCTCAAAAGAGATTCCCCCGGCCGCCAAAGTGGAGAATCCGAGCATTCCGCGAAGGTGCGAACGTTTGTGGCTGCATCTTTTTTTTTTTTTCTGAAAAAAAGAGAAGAAAAAATTAACATAGATGCATTGCTTGGAATATTTAGGACCTGTTGTTGTCCAGTAGCTTTAATGCAGGCAAGCTCGATTACGGATCGTTCGTTGTTGGGGATGTATTCAACTCGTCGTCGGAAGGATCTGACTCTTGTTCGGTGTCGTCCACTGAAAGTTGGAAGATTGTCCCTGCAAGTGCAACACTGGCATGGCGACACGTGACTGTCGAAGTGCCGGTGTTGAAGAAGACTGTGGTTCGACTGAAGGAGGATGTCAGCCCACCGAATTACAAACAAGCTGTTCGCCTAGGTGAGTACAGTATTCGATAAGCTATACGAGGGTCCTAACAAAAGTTCTTGGAGTAGCAATGAAAATGGCATACAATTGAGCTGAAAAAAATGTATTCTCGAGCCAAAACATATTCTTTGGCACACACAAAAAATCAGCCCGGTTTGACAATTTTTTTTAATTTTTTTGCAAAATTCATCCATATAGAGTTTTGCTCTCCACTCAAAAAATGAGGCGCCCTTTTTTTGTCGTAGCCCAGCTTTCCCCTCAGAATTTTTGAAATCAACTTGGCATTCTCTCTAAGGGTTGCCTCCAGGTCACCCAAGGCAATTCCGCCATTTTCATCAACAGCCGCCTTCACAGCCGCCAAAATGGCGGCCAATGTGGCGACTGTCTCGTATACACCGGCATCATACACCGGAATTACCATTTCTTTCATTCATTCTGACGCACATTTTACTTTTCGAGTCCTTCAAACAGAAGTATTTAGTGTTGGGGACTTTTTCATAAAAGGCAATGAGCTGTAATTCACAATGCCTCAAGAATCTGTGTTATTTGGCTGCTGGCCGAAAAGTGCAAGACGTTTTGAATATAAATTATTACTGTATATGCTGTACTTTTATTCAAACAGTGTCTGTAGAAGTTCCAATGAAAGTTCTCTGTTTGTTTTCTTGTGTTAAACTGGCTTTTCTTTAAACAAGATACATCAGTCGAATGTCAAATTGAAGAACTTTTCGAAGAAATAAAGTCGCCAACAGGTTTGGTTCGATAAAATAATTCAAACGCTAACACTTAGTGTCAGTTTTCTGCATTTTTCATGCATCACGAGTTACCTTAATTACCTTTAAAATAAATCATCCTTAGTTTTAAAAGAATGTTGATGATGCATACGAATAAATTAAATGGATGTACAGTATATACTGTACAGTACTGTATAGTACATTCAAGAATCAGTTCATACCAGTAATTTTTATCAAACATGTGGATCAGAGACGCCATCAATTCATGTGTCAGACTTTTCCGACAGCTACGGATAAAATAATAACCTCTCATTTTAGAGAGATTTTTTACATAATTTCTGGTCAGTATTTTTTTTTTTTCTTTATGGGATACGAAGACTTACTATTTTGAGATTAATATCCTTCGCATTCGTGGACTTCAGCAAACAGGTTTTATAGTTGATGACTTGGTGACTAATGAGGCAATAGGTATTTGGGGCTTATCCCTCGGAAGAATCAAGTACTTTTATTCCCAACTCCCTGAAACTGAAAGTTGGATCAATTGGCAACTGAATGGAAGCAGAAAACATAACGAACGGTTTTATTGATCACGATTCCATATACGAAACCTGGCCCCCTTTCTTTATATTTTCAGGAATATTATCTTTGTAGTGATATTAATCACTCGAGGCGTATGACATATGTAAATTCAGTTTATTTTGTTGTTTTTAATTGGATGCAGCTAAAAACCGCGCCATGCAAGACAAAATCCCACCGGTACAAAAATACCGCGTTCGGACGCAGATTATCTGAAATAACGATTAATTTTAAATTTTTCGGTTTATGTTGACTTGAAAGAAAAGTCGCATGTTTTAAATCACCGTATACTGCATAACATAATCAAATAATGCTTGAAATTCCATTTCGAGTGCTTATTTGGGCTTTCTTCAAGAATTATTTGCCTCGCCGTGCAAAGAAAGGGATGCCGATGTAATAAAACTAATTATAAATTCATTACAACGAATGTATGTCTATGGCAAATATTTCTACTCGTTAGTGCTCTATAAAATAGGGTTATGATTTTATTATTATTGAATATGTGAAGAATTTTTCCTTGCAACGCAGTGATTTCTTCAGGTCCCAATTTCCTCTTTGCGCCTATATTTTGATTTTTGAGTAATCTCACTTTTTTCGGAGTATAAATTCGTTACATTGAATTTATGCTTCTAATGATTTTTTACTGGTTGTTCTCTATGCAAGGAAACTATAAGGACCATGTTTTTAAAAACTTGATGCAACATATTTTTCC